GCTAATGATTCATCACCTATTTATTTCGATTGAATCCCTTTTACCCTACTGGCTGTTTATTTTGATCCTTTTGTGTAAAAATCCTAGGCTTGTGATGTTTTCCTTAAAATACTTGGTCTTGTGTATTTCTTCTGTGATTCTGTACCAACGTTTGAATTATTTCCATATCTATATGACTCTTTCCTTAATCACTTAAGGTTATCTGTGATTACAATTGGATCCGGGACCCTTTTGATTGATTTTCAAACTGATACCTTATTTTTACTTTATAAAGAACACTACTATTCCATCTTTCCTTAATTACCAACTATGTATTTGACCCTATTTGTGCACTACATGGTTTCCTTACCTTAATCAAGCCTTAGTAAACTGATTTTTTTTCTCCTTATTTCATCTCAATTAGCCGTTTGACCTAGACCCCCTAATTAAAGTAGTCTAGTTGTCTTAATTGATACTNCTCTTCCTTGTTAATTGATGGTTTCTATATGATATGAAGAGAATGAGAAGGAAATATGATGTGTAAACTCTTTGGAGCGTTGGCTCTATTTTTGACTTGATTAAAAAGTAAGAAATGAACGTAAGAGAAAGAGATGTGATTATTCCCTTGCCGGGACGTGTAAGTTATTGTTGTTGCTCCCTTGCCGGGATTTAACTGCATAGTCGTATTCTCCCTTGCCGGGAAACCACTTATATATTATGAAATGGGATCGTGTGGCACGCCGACCACTTATATATTATGAAATGGGATCGTGTGGCACGCCGACCACTTATATATTATGAAATGGGATCGTGTGGCACGCCGACCACTTATATATTATGAAATGGGATCGTGTGGCACGCCGACCACTTATATATTATGAAATGGGATCGTGTGGCAAGCCGACCACTTATATTTGCTGAAATGGGATCGTGTGGCACGCTGACCACCTAGTTATACTATGAAATGGGATCGTGTGGCACGCCGACCACTTATATAGATTATGAGATCTGATGTAGTTTCGTGTTTACTTCCGATATGTTGTTTTCATCTGTATTTCACCTAAGCATGTCCCCTCCCCGCCTTAATTGGTATTTTCTGCTGTTATTTCGTTGCACTTGTATATACATATATATCTGCACAGGTCGTTTTTGGTAGGTCCTGTCTAGCCTCGTCACTACTTCGCCAGGGTTAGGCCAGACACTTACCAGCACATGGGGTCGGTTGTGCTGATGCTACACTCTGTGCATCTTTTTACATAGATCCAGGAGCAGCTTTTGGGCCTCAGCTGTAGGATTTGATCGGGAGCTGACTTCAGTCCAGGGACTTTCGAGGTAGCCTAGCTGACGTCCGCAGGCCGAAGTCCCTTCTATGTTATTAGTTTGTTTTTCTTGTACCGAGACAAACATTGATGTAATTCTATTCAGACTTGTTTTTAGCACTCTTTAGTAGTTCGTGAGTTAGTGACACCGGATCTGGGTAGAGTTGTATTTAAACTTCCGCATTTGGTTTTCAGTTATCTATGTTTTTTAAGACTTCCGCTTTTATTTAAATGACTCATTTTATTTATATCGTTGAGATGTAATCGGAAAATGTTTTAATACTTGGCTTGCCTAGCTCCGACAGTAGGCGCCATCACGACTCCCGATGGTGGGAAATCCGGGTCGTGACACCCTTTTACCCTACTGGCTGTTTATTTTGATCCTTTTGTGTAAAAATCCTAGGCTTGTGATGTTTTCCTTAAAATACTTGGTCTTGTGTATTTCTTCTGTGATTCTGTACCAACGTTTGAATTATTTCCCTATCTATATGACTCTTTCCTTAATCACTTAAGGTTATCTGTGATTACAATTGGATCCGGGACCCTTTTGATTGATTTTCAAACTGATACCTTATTTTTACTTTATAAAGAACACTACTATTCCATCTTTCCTTAATTACCAACTATGTATTTGACCCTATTTGTGCACTACATGGTTTCCTTACCTTAATCAAGCCTTAGTAAACTGATTTTTTTTCTCCTTATTTCATCTCAATTAGCCGTTTGACCTAGACCCCCTAATTAAAGGAGTCTAGTTGTCTTAATTGATATTAATTGATTGGTTTCTATGTTTGTGCACTCTTTGCCTGCCTTACTTGTTTTCAAAAAACTATATAAGGACCTAGTCCTCCCTCTTTCTATCATCAGGGAATTCTCTCATAATCAGAAACACACGAAAATACACCACTCACACACGGAACTCACTTTTCGAGCAATACTGTTTTTCTAATCCTGCTTTACTTGAGATCTTTTGGAACTGCTGTTTGCAATTCGGCTTTTTCAAGGCCACTTTTGCTTACTTATTTTCTTTGAAACTGGTATGTCCTTTGATTAAATATTCTGCTTCACGCCCCTATGTGTTTACTTTACAGCTTCAGGCTTCTTGTTTACTTTATTGCTTTCATGCTGTAATTTGTGCTTCATATCTCTTTTCTTTGCTTCTGTTTCTGTCATGGATCCCATCCCTATTCCCTTCTATGTGCTGAGTTAAGGTCTTGGCCTGACAGTATCCTAATTACTGCCCAGGCCATGGCTTGATCCACAATGGATCCTAACTCTCAATGTTTGGCTAGCAGGCTGGTCAGGGGTGTGCCAGCATCCCAATTGTTGGGCATGACCACCCGCCAGCCGTGTCTCTCCCTGATTCCCTTCCCCCTATGCACTTACACTTACTCTTAGATTCTAAGTTCTGCCCTTCTCTTATGAGCCTTGCTTTGGGACCCTGAGTTCCCTCTGAACTTGGACATCTGAGGGCTGGCATCTCCACACTGCACTATGCTCGTGATTCTGAAATGTTTTTGGGGTTTAAGCACCGCCCGGAGTCCCTTTGAGACTCTTGGGAACTTTGACACACTCCAAATATGAGAAAGTCTTTTGGAAATCTGATCCTGGAAGTTGGTTTATCTCATATTGTTGGACTTTGAGTCTGAATTAGGCTGATTAGATATAGCTGTAACCGCTGCTGTAATTTTTTTTACTTTCTTTTTGATCCATTCGGTCTGTAATAACTTTGTAATAACTATTGGGGATGGATAGTGAAAAGGGATAGGGGAATGAATGCATGTAAAGAGTAGAAAGCATGCCTATAGGATCTTTTATAATTCTGCATTTTTTGCGCTTAGAAAGCATGCCTATAGGATCTTCTATAATTTCTGCATTTCTGCATGTAGAAAACCTGCCTATAGGTCATTCACAATTTCTGCACTTCTGCATTTAGAAAACATGCCTATAAGTTTTTCTACGCTTCTGCACTTCTGCATTTCCGTATTTTAGAGATCAGTTCCTTGTTTAGTTTCCTAGCTCCTGAAGCTGTAGCAGTTCACATTTAGCTAGAATTCGTTAAATGCAGTTTCGTCCAAGTGAGTCAGTTTCCCCATCTGGTCCTTGATATTAATTTTGTTAGATCATCAAAACATAAGGCAAAGACATTGAAAACCTATCAATTTCCCCCTTTTTGATGATGACAAACTTAACAATGATAACATAGATTTAGAGCTAAGAGAACCAGATAAAGTAACAGGAGAGTAATAGGAGAGCACAAATTCCCCCCGATTTTATGTTCCCCCTGACTTACATATCCCCATGACTATTATTTTCCCCCTTTTGGCATCATTAAAAAGACACAAACAGAAGAACAGCACAAAGAAGTCCAGCCAAGCTAACTCATGCCACATATGTGCACACAAACATGATAGAGAATAGAAACATAGAAGTAAAGCACTGATATAATACAAGAGGATCGAATTTATATTGATAAACTTTTAATATGCCTGTGCTTAAGAAGCAACAAGCAACATTGGACTGTTAAAACGGGAGCAATAATGTTTCATCCCAACCACATAAAAAAAATAAATCAAAACACCTGCCAAAACAAAAAAAAACTGAAGAACATTTCCAAAATCTGGTCACTGAAGGGGTACTTAGGGGGCACTAGGAGTAAAGGGCTTGGAAGCTGCAGCAAGTATTTTGAGAACAAGATCTATTCGGCATTGGCCGACTTTTGATCATTGAGCAGTTCTGCTTTCAGGTTCTCTACTTGCGCCCTAAGATCAACATTCTCCTTTATCAAACGAGCTACTTCATCGTTTGACACCGGAACCCCTTGGGCTTGCTGACCTTCCAAGATAGCATTCCTGGCTTTCAACCGACGAATTTCCTCAGCTGCACTGTTTTGAGCATTAATAAGCTGTGAGACGATTGATGTACTTCCTACTCCCCCATTCTTTTCTATGAACTCGCATTCTTCCAAAGTTGTCTGTGAGAAAGTCTGCTTCTTAGTCACCACCTTGCCTGGCCCCAGTGGCACTTCAAAGAATTTAAACACTCACGTAAGCAAGAACCCTTAGGGAAGGCCATGATTACCATCTTTGAAGGTGGCAACCTTTTGCATGTGTTCAATAATAATAGCAGGCAGACTCACAGGAGTAAAACTATCCAGTTGCTCCATCAAGAACAGGTCAGACTTAGAAGTCACTGACCTCCTTTCAGCTCGAGGCAATAGAACTTTGTTAACCAATTCGAACAGCAACTAATAGACAGGGAGTAGCGCTTTCTTATGGATCTGGTCCCCCTTCTGGTTTGCATTAGCTTTTACCACGACATTTTTGAAGTTAAACTGACACACTTCCCTTACACTGGACACACCAGCTGTAGGAACTTTAAGAATCTCTCCAAGCAACTGTACATCGAACACAATGTCCACTCCATTCACCAAAGCACAGATGTGGTCTGTCTCAACGGAAAAGAGGCTAGCAAAGAAGCTTTGTACCTCATCCTCATACACCTAGGTGCATCTATTTGGAATAAATGCGCCGAGCGTTGAAACTCAACCATTTCCAGTATTTGGCGCATGCCAGCCATCTCAGAGATTTCTGGGTCAAACATACGACCCAACAGAACTTTTTGATGCCTCAGGCGTTCAGAGCCAAGGCTGACTTCACTTCTCATTCTCTTTACAGAACCAGGTTCCTCAACAATTTCTGACTAGCGTTTGCCGAACTTCTCACCACTAAATTTTCCTTTTCTCTTGGATTTGACTAACACATCCTCATCAGACATCGAGAACTCACTCACCACCTCCTTCAACTTGGACTTAGAGGTTGACCGCTTCTCTATTGAAGCAGGCTTCTTCTTTTTCGGAGACCGTCTAACCAGTGAACCAGGTTCATCTGGAGTTTCCTCTTCCACCTCTACTACAGGGACCGCCTCATCACTTACGGGTACACTGTCTTTCACCAACTTCCTCCTTCTCTTCTTACTGCTTTTCTTGCTCTTTTGAAGGGCAGAATCGTAGGCCACCTTAGCTTGAAGCCTGGTAGTAGGTCATTTGGTTCCAGACTCAGGAGTGGACACAACCCTCCGCTTAACTATGAAAGCATCAAGAGCCACGTTATCTAGGTCCTCCTCATCACTGGACCTCATTTCAGGTTCTTGTATTTCCAAGGGCATAGCAGCGAATGTAGGAACAAAATTGTCCTGGGAGTGAGAGCCTTGACTTGGGTCCTCTGGAGAGGGATCAAGTTCCTCATGTGAGGGCCCAGTAGTATCTGCTAGTGCATCGCCTTCAACAGTTACAATGGCCCCTTCGTTCCCTACACCTTGTACCTCGCTTTTCTAAGAGATCATGTCATGCAGTACACCATCAGCAGACACCACAAAGAGGGTTACAACATTCTCTTTCTCAATTGGTACTACTGCCACCACGGAATCAGTAGCAACGATGGTAGAACTCTCAGTGACCTTAGGGTTTTGACCTTGTTCTCCACTTGGTCTTTGACTAGTGGGAACCTCAGAAGATGGAGAGGACGAAGCAATAATTTTAGGGGTTTCTGAAATAGAGAGAGACGGGGAATCTGGGTGAGGTGTGACTTTAGCGGAAAGAGTAAGAGTGGGGAAGGAAGGCTCAGTAGGAACAGAAGTCTCCATAGGTACGACTAAGGCAGGGAGGTCGGAGTTTGTCTCAACCATTTGAAAAGTGGTGTGAAAATGCTTTTTGGGAAATTCTAATGGAGGACTTATGGTTAGATAGAACAGAAAAGTGTGTTTTATGATGAGAGGATAATTATGAAGAGAGAGGAATAGGCACCGGTTCTGAAATGGCGGTTGGGCGTGGAGAAGTGCAACGTTTCAGAGGGAGACGGAACGATTTGAAGTGAAGAGACATGAAAGCAGGATCTGAAAAGGTGAATGACATGGAAGTTGTGTTTTGTACCCTTTTTTAAGACGTGTTATAAAGGATGCACAGAACTACTAACCTTTGGTACAAGAACCAGGTTCTTTACCTTTTATTTGAAAGAATCAGTCCTCTTTTATCATTCATGCACTGCATCTACAGCTTCTATACTCATCATGCGTGTTTACCTACAACGGTATTAAAGTGAGTTAGACATGGCCAGAAAACACTTTTAGCTAGTTGTTTCTTGAAGGTGATTTTCATAGCCAGATAAAGAGGAATCAGGTTCTCAATTGGGCTTTAAAAGCCCCAACTTCACTCTGTTTCTTTCAAACTGTTCCCTACTTAATGCCTAGGTGAAAATGTCTACAATTTGGTCTTTTGTGCTGCAAAACTTCATACATATCAGCCCTTTCTCCACATTGTCCCTCAGAAAGTGATGCCTCACATCAATATGCTTTATTCTTTTGTGTTGAACTGGATTCTTGGCCATGTTGAGTGCACTAGTGTTTTCACATAGAAGGGGCACACTCTCAGTGAGTACCCCAAAGTCCTCCAGTTGCTGCTTGATCCATAAAAGTTGAGCACAGCAGGATGCTATAGCTACATATTCTGCTTCAGCTATTGAAAGAGCCACTGAATTTTGCTTCCTTGTTTCCCAAGAGATAAGACATGAACCTAAGAAGTGAGCCATTCCAGAAGTGCTTTTCCTATCCACAAGATAACCTGCATAATCTGCATCAGCATAACCAATGAGATTAAAACTGTCACCTGAGGGATAATACAGAACCAGGTCCTGTGTTCCTTTGAGATATCTCAGTATTTTTTTGGCAGCCTTCAAATGAGATTTCTTGGGATTTGATTGAAACCTTGCACATAGTCCCACACTAAAGATAATATCAGGTCTGCTGGCGGTGAGATAGAGGAGAGACCCAATAATGCCTCTATACATGGTTTGATTCACAGGAGATCCTGTTTCATCCATGTCCAGTTGAGTGGAAGTAGCAATGGGAGTGTCTATCACCTTTGATGCTTCTATGTCAAACCTCTTCAAGAGCTCCCTGATATATTTTTGCTGACAAATGGATATACCCTTTGGGGACTGTTTTACTTGAAGACCCAAGAAGAAGTTCAGTTCCCCTATCATGCTCATTTCAAATTCACTTCCCATGAGTTTTGCAAATTCTTCACACAGAGAATCAGTTGTTGCCCCAAAAATGATATCATCAACATAGACCTGAACAATGAGCAGGTTCCTTCCCTGTTTCTTCAAGAACAGAGTGTTGTCAATTTTCCCTCTTTCAAAGCCATTTTTCAAGAGGAACTTTGACAACCTTTCATACCATGCTCGAGGAGCCTGCTTCAGCCCGTACAATGCTTTATCTAGTTTAAAAACATATTCAGGATGTTCATGACATTTAAACCCTGGAGGTTGCTTCACATAGACTTCTTCCTTAAGAAGTCCATTCAAAAATGCACTTTTGACATCCATTTGGAACAAGGTGAATTCCATATGAGATGCAAAAGCGATTAAAATTCTAATAGCTTCCATGCGAGCCACCGGAGCAAACATTTCATCATAGTCAATCCCTTCCTCCTGATTGTAGCCTTGAACTACTAGCATGGCCTTGTTCCTTGTGGTAATTCCATGTTCATCGAGCTTGTTTCTAAAAACCCACCTGGTTCCTATAATGGTTCAATCTGAGGGTCTAGGTACCAGGTGCCAAACATTGTTTCTTTCAAACTGATGTAGCTCGTCTTGCATGTCTACAATCCAATCTGCATCTTTCAAGGCTTCCTTGATATTCTTGGGTTCTATCTGAGATAGAAAAGCTGAGAAGGCAAGTGAATTTCTGGCTCTTGACCTGGTTTGTACTCCGGAATCTAGAGGAGTAATAATGTTGTCCATCGGATGAGAGCTTTGGTGTCTCCAGTTAGACGTCTGAGGTTCATTTTGAGAGGATGTGGGTGCATTTGGCTGGTTTTCCTCCGTTCTTCTCTCAGGTGCTGGTGGAGTTCCCTGAACTGCATCAACCACTCTTTCTTCAGCTTCAGTGGTTGTAATTGAAGTACTTGGTTCCATTGAAGATGAGGAAATATTGTCTTCACTCAACTCTTTTACTTGACTCATCATATCTGCCTTTCCGTTTGTCATGTTAATGACTTCACCAGGTACTAGTAAGGGTTCTCCATCTTGATCTTCTTCAGCACTCTTCTCACAAGATGGATAAGACTCATCAAAAATAACATGAACACTTTCCTCCACACATTGAGTCCGCTTATTATATATCTTGTAAGCCTTGCTTTGAGAAGAGTAGCCCAGAAATATTCCTTCATCACTCTTAGCATCGAATTTACCAAGCTGATCCTTTCCATTGTTGAGAACATAGCATTTGCACCCAAATGTTCTCAGGTGAGTCATCTTGGGTTTCTTTCCATTCANTTTCCCTTACCTACTTACAACGTACAGTTCATAGGGGGTTTTGTTCAGAAGTGATCTGATCATGCACCGGTTCACCAAGTAGCAGGCAATGTTGACAGCTTCAGCCCAGAAGTTCTTTGGAATTCCACTGTCGATTAGCATTGTTCTTGCCATCTCTTCCAGAGTTCTGTAATTCCTTTCTACTACTCCATTTTGCTGGGGAGTTTTGGGAGATGAGAAGTTGTGACTGATTCCATTTTCATTGCAGAACTCATCAAATTTGACAATGTCAAATTCTGTCCCATGATCTGATCTAATGCATGCGACTCTGGACTCCATCTTCAACTGGATTTTCTTTACGAAAGCCACAAACACCTCAATGGTTTCATCTTTAGTTCTGAGAAACAGAGTCCATGTGAATCTGGAGTAGTCATCCACTATCACAAAAATGTATCTTTTTCCTCCTCTGCTTTGCACTCTCATAGGGCCACAGAGATCCATATTGTTAGTTTGTATGAGTCCACCAAACAGTAGAGTACCTGGTCCTATATGAGGTTAAGCTGAGAATGCTAATAAAACTGTAAGTAAAGAAGACAAGGGATTTTTACGTGGAAAAATCCCACACAAGGGGATAAAAAAACCATGACCTACACTTGTAGGCTTTTAACTTCACTAACTTGCAATCTCACTATTACAAGCCACTTTGTAATAACCCTATTACAAAGACTTCAACTAACTTGTGATGCTCTCACCACAAGCCACTTTATAACTAACCTAGTTACAAAGGCTTTAGACTTATGACTAATCCTAGTCACAACGTAAACTCGGAAGTTTACGGATTTTTAGTTTTCCTAAGACAAAGCTTCTGAGAAAGCAAAATAGGAAATACAATGAAGAACAGATAACGAGATTACAACTCAACTACGTATATACATAAACTCATTACGAAACTGATCCTTAGTGGAGTTGTCTTCTTGTTCTTGACACACCAGTGACTTCAATACCGGATGAACACTGTTATGCTTCAAATATGATTCCTTGGGACTTGAGTTTGGATTCTATTCTGGAGTGGAAATACAGAAGAAGAATGATTGTGTTATCAGGTGGATGGGAGCTTTTGAGTTTCCAGTTTGGAACTGAGGTTTGTTTGGTAGAGGAGCTTGGTAGGTTAGTTGGATTACCCTGCACTCCTTGTTCTGTTACTTGTGGAGTGTCTTGCACTGTACTTTATTCTTTCTTCAGCTTCAGTGGTCGCAATTTCAATGCCAGGTTCTTTGTGAGAAGTGGAAGAGGATGTTGCATTGTCCTTCACCTTTCTCCTTCATCTTACACATCATATCAGCCTTCCCAATTGAAACCTCAGATATTTCCCAGGGTCCAGAGATGGTTCATTTTAATGATCATCACTGTTTCCTCCTTTGTTAGAGGAGGTATCTCATTGAATAGCGCATGAACGCTCCCTTTACCTAGTGTGCCCTTTTTGTTGTAGACTTTGTGGCCTTTGCTTTGTAGGGAGTATCCCAGAAGGATTCCTTTATCACCTTTTTGCATCAAAACTTCTCAAGCTGGTCCTTCCCACTGTTGAGAACATGTCATTTTGTTCAAAAAAAAGGTCCTCAGATGAGTTGCTTTTGATTTTCTTCCATTTTGCAGCTCATAGTGGGCTTTGTCCAAGAGGGACCTGACCATACACCTGTTCGCTAGGTAGCATGCATGTGTTTGTTGTTTTTCCTCAAACATTTTGGCATTGTTGAACTCTGTCCCGTGGTCAGATCTGATCCATTCTCCCTTCAATTTGATCTTCACTTGACTCTTCGTGACAAGGACCATTAATACCTCTAAAGTCTCCTCCTTTGTTCTGTGACCCAATGTCCAGATAAATCTTGAGTTTGGCAGACCACGGACCAGGTCCTTCTGAATCAATTTATTCGGAGGTAACAAGCTTGCATGCACCAATCTTTCATGCCAAAGTTCTACATCATCAACGAATTTCAAGAATCTCATATCACCACCTTATGGAGATTCATAGTCAGCAAAGTAGATGTTCTTGTTTCCTTTGGCCGCTAAGACCACTTGGCCAGTTACCAGATTGGTAACTGTGCACACTTTTGATAAATGCTCTACTTTGTTACCTTTATCACAGATTTGACAAACACTCAGGAGACTGTTCTTCAGGCCACCCACATAGAACACTTTCTCAACTGAGTGTCAAAGAAGCTTTCCAACTTTTCAAACGCCGAGAATGTACCTCCCTTTTTTAAGGAGANCTCCTGTAAGTCCTTTGATTCAGTAATAGCATTCACTTTGCCTTCCCAAGCGCTAGGCAGAATG